TGACACCTTTTTCTAAAGCCTTCTTAAGATTTCGCCCCTGTTGGAAGAAATCGCTGTTCTCCAAATTCCAGTATAACTTTCTTAGTGTTCCAGTTCAGGTTTTTCCTCCTTTCCTAAATTTAAAGATAGTTTGAAGTTAAGATCTTGATTCAAATTTTCTTTTTGTCTCTGAACCAGTTAGGACAGTGTCTGGTACTAGGTATATCATTTGCAGACAGAAGGAACAAATGAGAAAGCTCCAATTCAGAAACCTGTATAGAATGGTGGCAAAGCTGGGTAACCCATTGTTCTCCTATCTGTTGTTAAGTGCCTTCGTGTTGGTTCTGAATTGTAGTGACCCTGTATAGCGTTTCACAGGAATGACTGGTGAGTTTGAACTACTGACCTTATGGTTCAAGCTGACCTTGGTGGTCCAGTGCTTATCCTACAGCGCTACAACAGGACTCCCTATTCTTTATGAAACACAGATTGGGACTCATTTGTGAAATCAGTTTAGTGAGGCAGCACCATGTCTGCCAAAGTAGACTGTGCTCCATAGAGTTTTTAGTGGCTGGTTTTTGGAAGTAGATCACCAGGCCTTTCTTTTGGGATGTCTCTGTGAGAACTTGACCCTCTAATCTTTTGGCCAACAATTGAGCATTTTAACTGTGCTGACTAGGTACTCCTTTTGCTAGGTTGTTGTTACATGCCATCAGGTCGGTTCCGACTCATAATGACCTGGTATAGGGCTTCTGAAGAGCAGCTGGTAAGATTGAACTGCCAACTTTGTGGTTAGTGATTGTCACACCAGGTAGTGATTGTCAAATATGGTAATCTGACGGGGGGGCGGGCTTCCTCTGCTTATACTTGAGGTTCTGAAAGTTTGAGCTTTAAATTGCAGATCCACATAGAATGGGTTCACAGTGGTCAGTCAACCTCTGTACCTTGAAAGGCAGGCAGGTGCTCTGCAGGGAATTTTCATGCTAGTCAGGGTAAACACATGCATTCACCCCGTACATTTGTCTGTCTCTTCTCTTTGAGGAAAAAACATGCATGCCATTGTGCTAGGTGCAGAGAAGCTAGACAAACTAAATTAAATCTGGCTGACTTAAACTTGTCAGGAATTTGGGCGAGAGGCACTTGAGAAGAGACAATATGTCAGATTGTATTGCAGCTCTGCTAACTGGAGCTCACAGTACTAGGAACACATGGCTCTTGAAGACCAGTATTCGCTGTCATTCTAAGTATCCCAAGCTGAATTACTTACTCATTAACTTGGAATTGCTGCTACAATTGAAGCTAGTTGATGTTTTTTCACCCTTCAAAGCATAGTGGATTTAAATGTCCACAAATTGGTGCATTTGTTTTACCAGGATAAATTAATGGGGAAGAAAAGGTTCCTTATTAGTCTGTTGCACAGGCTTCAAATTCTATTTTAGTCTTATAAAATGTAAATTTCTTAACCAGGAAACATCAAAATAAGTATACATTTTAATAAGCGTACACAAATTTGTACACCTGTGCAGTCACTATAAAATGTGATAAAAATGTGCCTCCACCACCCTAGAAAGTTCTGGATGCTCCTCTGAATTGACTATTTTTTTTTGTCTCCCCCCACTCTCCTATCTGAAGCAACCATTACTGTCTGCAGTTTCATAGAATGAAATCATATCTAGTCTCTCCAACAAATTGGTGCTGTCAAAATTGGAAATCCATTTGCAGAAGAATGAAATAAGACCCATATACACCACACCCTGTACGAAAACTCAACATGGACTTAAAGACCTAAATGTAAAATCTAGAACTATAAAGATCAACATCAATGAAAAAAATAGGGACAAACTTAGGTTCTGTGATTCATGGCATGAATACACTATCAAACAAACACCAGAGACAAAATAGATGACTGGGACCTCCTAAAAACTAGACACTTACGTGCACCAAAAGAGTCAAAAATAATCTACAGATGGGGGGGGGTGAATTTTGGCAGTGATGTCTCAGCCAAGGGGATACTATCTAAAATATAGAACACTTGAACACCTCAACAAAAAGAAGACAAATACTCCAATTAAAAATTGTCATAGGATGTGAATAGACACAACACCACCAAGGAAGATACTCAGGTGGCCATCAAACGGAGTCCTGGTGTGGCGCTGTGGGTTAATGTGGTTTGAACTGCAAGATTGGCGGTTCAAGCTCACCAGCTGCTCCTTGGAAACCCTATACAGGGTCGATATGGGTCGGAACTGACTTAGTGACACTTAACAAAAACAATCGAACATGAAGAAAAATGCTCATGATCACTAGCCAATAGAGAGATGCAAATCAAAACAACAGATATCTGACCCCAGCATTAATAGCAAAGTTTCAGAAAACTCAAGACAGTAAGAGGGTGTGCAGAATATGGGCCCATCCTACACTGCTGATCGTTGTTAAGTGCTGTCAAGTCTTTTCCGACTCATAGTGACCCTGTGTAGGGTTTCCAAGGTGATAGTATCAAAAATATAGAACACCTGAACACCTCACTTACATGTGGTTCAAATAGACCAGTGCTGTATCCCACAGTGCCACACCAGGACACTGCTGGTAGGACTGTTAAGTGGTGCAAGTGCTGTGGAAAATGGTATGGCACTTTATCAGAAGGTTGTAAACAGAAATACCCAGCAATCTCTCTGGAATAGATCCTCAAGAAATAAGAGCCAAAACACAATAGATAAAGGCACGCCCATGTTCATTGTAGCATTACTCACAATAGCAAAAAGAAGGAGACAGCCTAGACACCCATTAGCAGAGGAATGGTTGAACAAACTTTGGTGCTGCGCACAGTGGAATGTTACACAACATTGAAGAATAAGGAATCTGCATAGCATGGAGCAATCTTGGAGGGCATTATGATGAGTGAAATTAGTCAATCTTGTTAAGTGCTGTCCAGTCCGTTCCAACCCACTGCGACCCTCTGTAGGCATTCCAAGGAGCATCTGGTGAGCATGAAGCATCAACCTTGTGATTCAAACCGACTTTGCAGTACAGCACATTAACTAACCCATAGCGCCACACCAGGACTCCCAGTTAATCTTAAAGGGGCAGATATTGTATGAGACTACTACTGTAAAAAGTCAAGAAAAGGTTTTCATTCTGTAGTAAACTTTCTACGATGGATACCAGGAGTGCGATTAAAGAATTATTCACTGGGTAGAGTGTAGACACGTATTAACTTTGATGATGGGGAAGGCTGTTAAAAAGAAAGGAAAAAAAACGGTTCCGGGTCCGCCTTTGCCACCACCACCCCCATATTGAAAGGGAAACAATGTATATTTTCTCATAAAAAGAGCTTATACATTATTTTCCTTTGAAATATAACTAAGGCAGCATCTTCTGCATTGTTGGTTATGATTCTTCATTGGCTTGGTTGGTTATCTTTTATTAGATTTTTTTCCAATATTTTGCTATGGAAGTTTTCAAACAAAACTGAAAAAATTTTACAGTAAACACCCATATATCCAATAAGAGTTTTGCCTTTTATGCCCTGGTCTGGTGCTGTAGGTTAAGCACTGGATTGCTAACCACAAGGTCAGTGATTCAAACCTGTCAACCTCTTTTTAGGTGTCTTAAGTCAGAACTGATGCAGCGACACTTAGACACTTAACAACAACATACTTACCTATCTTAACACCCATTCGTCTACCAGTCTGTTTTGTTCTTTATTAATTTAAAAGTGAATTTTAGACATCAGTATTCATTTTACCAGTTTCTGTTGGGTTAACAACCCCATGAGAATAGAAATGTGCTCCATAGATTTTTCTGTGATATAGATTGCTTTAAGGTGAGAAAACTATATTATGAAGATGATACTGTCGTAAAACTATAGACATAAGGAAAATTTTCAGTGAGGTACTGAAATACTTTCAATGGATTTTTGAAAAATAAAGACTTTCAAAGTAGTCTGGTGTCTGGATTTGCTTCAAAATAATCCAGGAGACAGGTAGAAAGTGAGTGAGGTATATGTGAAACAAGTTTCACCACAGGTTGAACATTGTAGAACTTGGGTCAATGGGTATTCATTATGAAAAGTTAAAATTATAAAATGTAGGGTTTATTAGGCATTCAGATTCAAGGCTCTGAAAATCTTAAGCTCTTTTAAAAGAAATCACAGCCTTAGTAAATCATTTAAAAGATACTCTAATGTGGCATGCTGTACGATAAGCACTGGACTGCTAACCTCAAAGTTGATATTTCAAATCCATCAACCACTCCTTGGAAACCTTTACAGGGTTGCTATAAATTGTATCCGACTTAACACCACTGAGCAACACAACTTATTAGTATCTTAATAGTATAATTTATTTTTATTCCTTGTCTTTGGTTGAAATGCAAACTCCTAAACTTTCAGACTTCGCAGTGCTAGGACTTTCTACTTAGAACTGTTTATAGAAATTCAGAAACAGATCTGGTCGGCAAGAAATACTTATTACGAATAAAAGAAACTATTTACTCTAAAATAAATTAAATGTGTAGATCTGGAATCATGGTTAAGTAAGCCTTGTAACAAAACAGTTGTTGCTGTTGAGTCTCTTTGGCTCCTTGTGACCCTGAATTGGGTTTGTGAGGAATGGCTGGTGAGTTTGAACCGCCAGCCTTGCAGTTCAAACTAGCCTTGCGGTCCAGTGGATTATCCTGCAGCACCAAACGGTATAAGAGTAGGTGTTGGTCTGGTGGTATAGAGGGATATGTTGTCAACAAATTATTATATTAGTAGCATTTTGGAAATATTATTATGGGATCTTTGTTACGACTGTCTCTTGTAATCCTAGTTGAAGATGATACTAAATTATAAATATTTCCTAGTCTCTTACCCTGCTTTCTTGCAAGCACAATACAGTGATATATTACCAGTTTTAATTGCCTGGCAAGGACTTTGCTGACAATCTCACTCTAGTTTCTCTCTCCCCTTTCTAATAGGAGTGCAGCTGGCAGTCTTGTAGCAGCTCCAGAGCAAAGCTCCCTGTGGACAGCGTTCTACCATGGAGCAGTATACAACAAATAGCAATAGTTCCACAGAACAGATTGTTGTGCAGGCTGGACAGATTCAGCAGCAGGTATGGAAGTCAAACTGCTTTAACTATCACTGCAACGGGGCTAATAGCACTCCTCCATTGGTTGTTTATTACTCTGGGTAATTATTTGAGAGGTGCCTGATCTTGTCAAATACTAGGTTTGATGACTTGTGGGGGTGGGATTTTTTTTTTTTTTTTAAGATTAGATTTTTTTGTGATTCCTCTCCTGAACTCTTTAAATCCTATCTGTGACCACTCAGAATTTATTCTTCTTGGGGGCCTGATTTCTAAATTACTCCTTTTCAGCCATTAAAAATCAAAACACCTAGTATGCTTTCTGATGGAAATTTGGAGTTGTCTTATTCCTAAATACAATTTAGTTACTTCCCTTGATTGTGTTAACTTGTGTTAACTTAATGATTAAGTTAACAAGTGTTTGCCCACAAAAGATAAACCAATGCAGTCAACTTCTAAGAAATCTACTGCTTGATTTGACCCACCACAATGCTTATTTTGAAAAGCTTTAATTTAACATCAGGATAATATTTAGATGGTCCTCTCTTTTGGATAAACATGTATTGGAAAGGCATTCCCTACTCCTGGTTTATCCCACATGAAGATAGGTAGCTTTCTTGAATTTATAACCAGATTACTTTTACTGATGCTTTATATCTGAGCAAACTTTATTATTTGCTATTTTCCCCTCTGAAGAAAAGTAGAAATTTATTATGTTTTTAATTTGATCTTTTGCTAAGATTGATATCTTGGAATGTAGTTAGTGGGGTAGGCAAAGGAAGTTTTGATGAACTGTTTCTCTCTATTGATCAAATGAAGGAGATACTCTGGATTAAAATTAATTTAAAAACTCCCTTGCTGACTTCCCCTTCCAGACAACAGGTGTGGTTCTGGCAGCTTCCTTTGGGTACTCTCAGATGAGTTTTCTGTAAAGGGTCCTCCATTCAGATTAGTGCTCTACCAATGGGGGGGATATAAAAATTAAATTGCTTCACTGAAAATAGTGTTTCTGTGCAGTCTAGTTGGGTAGAAATAATCTTAATTTGGAGATAGAAGAGCAGCAACCTAATGAGGATGATTTTGGCTCACAGATAATTTTATTTGGATGATCTTATTCTTCCCTTCTTAAGCCCAGAAGTTCTCCATTATAGCTTCAAGGTTATTTAAGTCTACTAACTTTATTTTGGGGAACTCATTTGAGAAAATAAAAAAGCACTAGAATAATGTCTATGATAGCAAAATTATCAAATGCCTATTTTTTGGAGGTGAGAACTGTTTTGGCCTTTTTGAGTCATGGAAGTGTGTTTTGAGTTCCACTCTGGGAATAAGAGGGCCCTGCTACCATGCAAACAGGTTCAGTATAGAGACTCACAGTGGGACCACTAGGGTTGGTGGCCACAGTGTGGTAGTTTATGGTGTCAAACCCCTGCATCCTTCCCCCTCTCCTCTCTTGGTCCCATGGGCCTCCTTGAGTGCCAGACCATACAGGGCCCTTAGCAATGTTTATTACTGATTTCCATCATAGCATAACATATGATAAGTACAGATGTTAATTGCTTACATGTAACATTTCTTAAGATTATATGAATACTAATAGCAAAATTGTTTTGTAAAATCTTTCTACATTGAATTACACAGTCACAACTTTACTAGTAGCTGAGCAGAAGCCTTTTAAAGTTTTTCTCCTTTTCATTTAAATTATTACTTCTTTCTTGACAAGTTAATTATTTAGGTTTACATATACTAATTACCACACTAAAACACCAGAAGATTTGACAAAATCAGCAGTTATAAAAACACTGGCCTTAATGAAAACAACTGCACAGTCTTATAGCACATGTAGATGAAAGTACATGGTTCAAAATGCCATTGTAATTGGGTAACGACATCTCTACCAGAGTGCATTGGAAGGTTCAAAACATAAACCAACAGGAATCAATATAACTACAAAGCTAAAACTTGAATAATTAAAATAATTATTTAGTAGTTATATTCATCCATGTAAGCCTTATTCAGAAAAAAAAAAAAAAAACCACTTCCTTTGTTATAAAAATAATTTCTGCTGAAGTACTGCACAAAAATTTTATGGACAGTCATTTTAGTGTTTCCCGGTGCAGTCCACAACCCCTAGTGAAGCCACTGGTGAGTCTGTACGGTCTGAAACTCCTGGGTAGGGTGGGACTTGAAAAAGAAGACTCCTTTCCCTCACACAAGAGGTAAGGTGATCTCATGTCTTGAACTACACGTTTCCTTCCTGACACATCTCAAGCTCTTCCTGTTCCTGTTCTCAGCAGCAGGGTGGTGTCACTGCTGTCCAGTTGCAGACTGAGGCCCAGGTGGCATCGGCCTCAGGCCAGCAAGTCCAGACCCTCCAGGTAGTGGTGTCCTCTCTGACTTTCTTTGAGCACTGCATGACTTCCTCCCTTGTGTCTGGTGCTGTACTTGTATTCAGCTCTCAAGTAGGGATGGCAAAGTTGGTTGCATGTCCTGAATGCTGCTAACTTGTCTTTGAGGATTATCAGATGCCAGATTCCTAATGTTTCATGTAGTCATGTGACATATCAGTTTCTCAGAACTACATTTAGCTTGTATGTTTTGGGAATGCCTGGGAAGGAAACAGTACAAGTGACAGGAAGAAATTCTTACAAGTGGCACATTAGGTTCTACTCAAGATTTAAGACTCTGTAACACTAATTGGTGAAATTTCATGAACTTGTGTTACACAGTAGAAAAGGAAATAAATATGTGTGTGTGGTGGCACAGTGGCTAAAGCATTAGGCTGCTAATGGAAAGGTCAGCAGTTTGAACCCACCAGCCACTCCATGGGAGAAAGATGTGTCAGTCTACTTCCATAAAGATTTACAACCTTGGGACCCATGGGGGGTACTTCTACCGTGGGCTGTAGGATGACTGAGTCAGAATCAACAGCAGTAGGCTTGGGCGGTGTGCTGCTGTGTGTTATAATATACTGGATGGTTTGAACTGCAAGATCAGTGGTTCAAGCTCACCACCCACTTCTCGAAAAACCCTATACAGGGTTGCTCTGAGTTGGCACTTAACAACAACACACCTGTGTATTAACTAGGCTTTATTTTTATTGAGCACGGTGGCTCCATAGGATAAGCACAGGACTGTGAAGCACAAGGTCGGTGATTCGAACCCACGAGTTATTCCTTGGAAACCCTATACAGGGTCAATGTGAGTCTGAACTGACTCCACGGTACTTAACGTTTCTAAGGCAGGTCAGCTGAAAAATAATCTTTGCTTTTGCATAATAATTTAATCAAGTTAATCTCTTCTTAATTGCTGCTGTTTCCTAGGAAAATAGTGACTCTTTTGTTGGATCAGTGATGGTGACCCCATGCCTCTTGGGTAGGTTATATTCCTAGAAATCTGGTATAAGGACCATTATGGACTCTTGGTGTGGTGCTGTATGATAAGCAGTGGACTGCTAACTGCAGGGTCAGCAGTTCAAACCCACCAGCTGCTCCTCAGAAACACTATATAGACTTGCTGTGAGTCTGAATTAACTCAAAGGCACTTAACAACAAAAACGGGACCATTATAAGAATTCTAGTTAATTAGTTTCCATTCCTTAACATTGTATATGACTGTATTAACTAAAATCGAGGTCATGAATTTGGTCAGTGCCTATATGAAAGAGCCTTTCTGTGTCTGCTGATTACTTTGATCAAAGTTAGTATATTTTGGGGATATTGGCAAGATTTTTTTCTTTCTTTAACTTGGAAATGATTCAGAATAGTACCTGGGATACAGAACTGGCATCTCACTTTTTTACTAGACCTGCTAAGCCTCCTGCAGTTAACTAGCCCTTAATCATTTCACTTTAACTTTTCAGACTTCCTCTTCCATCACCAAAAGGGTTTAGTGATGGTATACTGCCAATTTTAAGCAGAAATGTGGCTGAAAGACACTGAGCTTACAGCTGCTCCCAAATAGATTCCAATCTCAGAGTCCAACAGCTTGGTATTCATAATATTCCTGCTTGCTTCATCTTATTGACATATTAAGCAGTATTTTGGATTGCCATTAACAGCTGTGGAATGGGAATGTAACATGCTCTTAACTGTATGGCTTCTTGTCTGATGCATGTGTCCTTATATTCATTTGTACATTGTAAGCACAGTGGGCTTCTTGGAGTCCTAAATCACTTACTGTGTGCACGTACATGTAGCATGCCAATGAGGGGAGAAAGCCAGATGATGGATGGCCAGAACATTACTAATAGTTGTGCCTTACAACTTGTCTTTCCTGCTTAGAGATTTTATTTAAAAGAAATGAAAATAATGGAAATCTTTTCTCTAGAGATCTCATTATTTTTGGAGAATTTTAAATAGTTATTTTAATTATTCATACAATAAATATTCTGAAATCTCTTTCTTGATAACAGCATATGCAAACATTGGTGTAACTGGGAGAATTTTATTTGAAAGATGGAAATGTAAGGGAAGGAAGAAGCTGACAAGAATCTGGCTATAAAATCCTGAAAAGTTCAGCAGAGTTTCTCCAAGGAACAGTTTAATAAAACCTTGGATCTGAATTTTTCTTGGTGATACAGATACCTTGGTGTGGTAGTGGCAGGAGAACAGGGGGCCGTTCTTAATAGCTAACCGATACATTCTGGACAGATTGAGCCTTTAACTAGCTGCTATTACTTAAATTTTTTTTCACTGACATTGAGAATAAGTAATTTTGTCATTGTTCTGTTACGAGTAATTCCTCAAAACAGAACCAGAAAATGAAAGTTTTGAACTGTTAACTATTCATTCTCATGATCACACTAACTCATTTCTAAAGCAGCTTACTTTTTGGCTTCTGGTGAGCATTTTAGCTTAGGTGTTTTTAAAATTGGGATTCAGAGTATTCGAGAGTGCTTGGAATGCTCTGGCTACTAGAGTAGACTGTTTACTCATAGAGGCTTTTGAAGGTTGGGACTTATATTTGTACACTTGATTATTCTGTGTAATTTCACTATTTTTCATTGCTTCTATTAAAGCTAAAATAATTAGGTTGATATTACATGGGTCTACATTTTGGAAATTGCGAGAAAATAGTAGCTCCAGTCAGTCTTTGATAGTGAGCTATTTAGATAGCAAATGTGTCTAGAATTCTCAGAATGTGTGGAGAGGGTAAAAGGTATACATTTCATTTGTGCTTGAGAGACTATAGGCATAAGCTTTTAGAGCTGCTTGTCCCCCAGCATTCTGCAGTTACTGCTGGGCACAGTGGATTTACTCCCTCCAGATTATTTACAATTTGCACGCAACCACCATCACTTTTCCCTCTCATTTCTTTTCAAGTTATCACAAAGACCATTTTTTAAGGCTATTGGTCTTAAAAGGGCAAATAGCCTTGGCGTTTTGTTTAAATGTTTATCATGGGTTTAGGCTGTTAGGTGATAAATACTTTTAGTCAGTAAAAATATTTACTGAGATTTCCCAAAGACTGATATATTCCATTATATCTGACCTTAAACTATTCAACTTGGTGTTTTGTCAAAGATGCCAAATATTGTAGATACTTGAAGAAGATCATTTGAGGGCTTAAGACTTATTTTCCTAGTGTCTCTTACCTTTCTCTATACCCCTAGCAAGGCAGTAGAATAATTCCAGTTATTATCTTTTGGCAAAAGCCTTTTTGAGTATTACGTTGTTTCATTGTTTTGATTTTATTACATTCTAGGTCCAGGGGCAGCCATTAATGGTGCAGGTCAGTGGAGGACAGTTAATCACATCAACTGGACAACCCATCATGGTTCAGGCTGTTCCTGGTGGACAAGGTCAGACTATCATGCAAGTACCTGTATCTGGGACACAAGGCTTACAACAGGTATGAGAAAAAATGTTTGGGCAGATTATCAGAATAGAGGTTTTCAATAATAGCTTACTATAAATTGTTTGACCAGTTGCATTCCATCCCAGTTTAGTTCATATTCCACCTTGTAGTACGGTGAGGGAGTGGCACAAATGGCTAAGCACTGGACTACTAACTCAAAAGCTTTCAAAGCCCACCCAAGAGGCACCTGGCAATCTGCTTCTAAACATTCACTGCCTTGAAAACCCTCTAGGGTATAGTTCTGTTCTGCAGACTGCAGGTCACCATGAGTCAGAATTCGCTTAATGGCAACAAACCAACACCACCAGTGATTTAACATAAAACTATATGGAAATGTGGACATCTCTGGTAAGGACTAAGGGAGTAAGCATGGTCTTGCATCAATGTTTAAAGAACATAAAGGGGTAAAAGTCTAGTTGAATGAAAATAATTCATTAGTGATACAGAGGGACTGGAAGGAAGGGGGTTTTCAGTCTGTTTTGGAAATTGTTTTTGACCAGAAATGTGCTTTTATTTGTTCTGGTATAATTTGTAACTTAAGTTGTCTAGAACATAAAGAAAGAGAAAATGTTTCAGTCCAAACCTGTTGTACACCTTTAAAATTATAATTATGGCAAAATTCAGAACCTTATATTTTTATTGAATGAGAGCTAAAAGTAAACAGATGATAATTATCTTAAGCTAAGAAAACAACAGTAATATAGAAAAAGTAAAGGCTGATTCTTTGAACAGACCAATAAACTAGTTAGGTAAATCCCCTTAAAACCTGCTTATAGAAGCAGAACACAAAGCTGGTAGACCAGACAGAGATGTAGAAGGGCTTTAAAGAACTGTGCCAGAATTTGACAGACAACTCTACAGCATCCGTTTTTTAAATTAGAACGGTTTTTATCAACAAGTTAGCAAAAATTAACAAGAGATCTCCAGGGTAGAATGGATGTGTAGAAAGGACACACTCGTTATTTTAGTGAATTTGAAATTCTAAAGTCTTTCTGGAAAGGTATCCCACCATCTCTAAACTGTAATAAGTAAACCTTTAGATCTGAGAATCTGTCATGTAGTATTGATCCACAGTAAATGCTCACGGAAGCAGCAGTCAAGACATTAAATCACATATTTCATTAGGCATATCTGCTGCACCTGACCCAAGCCATGGTATTTTTCAGTAGCCTTATATGCATGTGGCGCTGTGGGTTAATGCACCAGACTGCAAAGCCATTTGAGGCGCAAGGTCAGCAGTTCAAACCCAGTAGCTGCTCCTTGGAAACCCTACACAGGGTGACATCACTATGGGTCAGAACCAACTCAAAGGTGCTTCACAACAAGAACATATGCATGTGAAAGTTGGATAATGAATAAGGAAGATTGGAGAAAAATATTTAAAGTACCATGGATTGCTAGAAGAACAAACAAATCTGTGTTTGAAGAAGTACAGCCAGAATGCTCCTTAGAAGTCAAGGTATCTTTAGACTTCATCTCTCATACTTCACACATGTTATCAGGAGGGTCCAGTCCCTGGAGAAGGACAGCTTGCCTGGTAAAATGGAGTGTCAGTGAAAAGAGGAAAACCCTCAGCAAGATGGATTGGCGCAGCAGCAGTAGGCTCAGCAGCACAGGACCAGGCAGTGTTTCATTCTATGGTACACGGAGTCACTGTGAGTCAGAGCCAACTTGATGGTACCTAACAACAATAGCAATGTGGAGTATTATGCCATGGGTAAAACGTATGAATTGTTGGCCAGAGAGGAGAGGTGGTGTGGTAGTGGTAAATAGTGAAGTTTTGTTTTTTGTTTTGTTTTTTTTAATTGAAAAATAAATTACAAAGAAATAGTTTGATTTCATATTTGTATAGCAAGCTAACCTATCCCTGTTTCTCGTCCCCTACCCCCATAAGTAATTAGTTTCTTTATTCATATCTTTCTTTATATTAACAAATAAAGTAGTCACCTTACTGTCTTAGTTTGTCTGGCCGAAATTTAAAAATGTAGGTCATGGTCACTGTGCTTCCAAATCACACTTCATTTTTGCATATTCCCTTGTTTTTTGCATACCTTTGAGGCATACTCGTAGTATATATATATGTGTGTATATATGTATATATATATATAGACTCTTTGCTTTTTTGAAAAAATTATGTCTGCATAGTTTTCTTAGTTACGTCTTTCTAATGGTCGACATGATGAATTAGAATGTATAGTGTTGTAGTTTATTTAGGGGTTGTTGTTTTGCTTTTGTAGGTAAGATTACTTTAAATATTTTTTAGCATGATATTTTTATTTTTCAATTAAACTCTTTTTTAGGGCAATTTCATTGAAGTGGGATTGCTTGGGCAAAGGATAAGAGCATTTTTAAGGCTCTTGGCATATTTTTGCCAAGATAAAATTGTAGTTAGGATTAAAAGTAGTTTCCACATTGCTCTGTGCATAAATGTATGAGGATTTAAATGACTTTTCAGTGTGTGCTTTCCTTAGTTTCACAGGCCTTCCTTTTGGACCTTCCTCAGTGCCTCCTCTCCAGCTTCCTTTGCCATACCTTCCTGTCACTGTTAAACAGAGACAATGTGAGACAGTGCTAGGAGCAGTATACTGTTGTACTGTGAGTGCAGAGACCTGGCTTTCATTCCCAACTCTGCCATTTCACAAGCTTTCTGATCTTGGCAAAGTCATTTAATAGTCACTTGTCTCATCCAAAACTAGTTTAATAACAGCTGTTTTCTAGGGTTCATTCCAGTTCTGAATTCTGTGATTTTTGGTGTGTTTGTGTTTTGGTATTTTGTTTTGTTGGTGGCTTGATCATTCTTCTTGCATCAACCGTCAACACTCATGGAAGCAGCCATCAAGAAATCAAATGACATACTGCATTAGGCAAATCTGCTGCTAAGACCTTTTTCAAAGTGTTGAAGAACAAAGATGTCAGCTTGAGGACTAAGGTGCACCTGACCACGCTATGGTATTTTCAATAACTTCATATACATGTGAAAGCTGGACAGTAAATAAGGAAGACTGTAGAAGAATTGATGTATTTGAGTTATGGTGTTGGAGGAGAATATTGAAAGTGTAATGGGCACGGTTGGAAGAAGTGCAGCCAGAGTGCTCCTTGGAGTCCAGGATGGCCAAATTTCATCTCTCATACTTTGGACATACTGTCAGGAGGGACCAGTTGCTGGAGAAGGATATCATGTTTGGTAAGGTGGAAGGTCAGAGAAAAAGAGGAAGACCCCCAACAAGTTGGATTGGAAAAGTGGCAGCATCAGTGGGCTTAAGCGTGGCAACAATTGTGAGGTTGGCCCAGGACCAGGCAGTGTTTCATTGAGTTGGTACCAACTTGATGGCACCTACCAACAACAATACGAGATCTTGTTTATTTTATTTACCAGTATATAGATAGGATTAAAACTAATCAAGCCAGCATGGTTTATTTTTGTTTTATTTTCCTGAATATACATGAAGCCTTAGGAAAGATTCTGTAACCTTTCTTAGGATACTTATTATTTTAATCGCACTTGCAAAAGAGGCTGCTTCTCGTGTTCTTTGAATGGCCATGTCTTTTAGAAGAATATTTCTTCTGAACCATTTTAGGATTAAATTCTATTTTATAGCCTTCCAGTGAAGTTTGTGCTCTTTTTTTAAAGGCAGATGTCCAATTGCAGGCAAAATTTTGCACACAAATTTAGATTAAGAAACTTGGGTTGATATAGTGGCATTTGATTACAAAACTGCAAGAATATTGGAAGTTAGTATATTGTGAATTGAGTGCAAGGGTTACTGAACAAATCATTAGTCCCACATTCAACAAATTATGCACTTCCTATCGTTACACTGATTGTAATTTAATCTCACTCCATATGTTAACAGAATTTACGTCTCTTCACTTTATCCAACTCCCACCCATCTGTAACCATTGTACAGGGTTTCATTTAGCAAGAAAATCTCTTAATTTTTTTTATTTTTTTAACAATAGTGCTCCCTTGCAATATTTGTTCTTTTGTGATTGACAAATTTTATAATGACATCCAGGTTCATCCATGTTATAAGGTGTTTCATAAATTCATCTTTATTCTTCAACGTTGTGTAGAATTCCATTTATGTATGTACCAAAGTTTACCCACTCTTCTGTTGATGAGGACAGCATTAGGCTGTCTGTCTTTTGGATGTGTCTCTTATAGACAGCATAGTAAAGGATCCTATTATCCATCCCTCTCTTGCTGTTTCTTGACTCTACATTTAATCCATTTACATTCCGTATAATTATCAATACATATGAGTTGATTGCTGTCACTTTGTTGTGTGTTTTTGTGTTTTGTGGTGCTGCTGGTTTTTTTGTTCCACGACGTTTCTGTGCCTGGTTCATTTTGTTTGGGTTGTCTTTTCATTTTCATTTCTGCTGTATTAAGTTTACTAAATCTAATTTTCTTCTTTTTTTATTTTGATGTGTGGTTTGAAGTTACTATGGGATAAAGACTAAGAAAGCACAAACAGATTGAACTACATTGAAATAAAAACATAGATATATGAAAAGATAGGTAAATAAAGGTCACAGATATACGGTACAGACTTAGAAAAGATCTTTTCAGCACATTTTGGATTTGTGTCCAGAATATATAAAGAATTATGTATTTATTCAGAAATGACAATTCAGTAGAAAAAGGAGCAGAAAATATGAAGAAACCCTAATGGCCAATGTAAATAGGTATTCTTTGAAATGCAGGGATGGAATAAATTTAAACAGCCTCATACCCCTTGCTGTCCTTAATTTACTACTTTAGCTGTAACTATACAAACTCAAAGGAGCTCTGGTAGCATAGTGATTACGAGTCAGGCTGCCAACCTCAAGGTCAGCAGTTGGAAACTACCAGCTGTTCCATGGGAGAAAGATGAAGCTTTCTGCTCCCTAAAGATTTACAGCCTCGGAAACCCTGTGCAGGGTCACTATGAATCAGAACCGACTCCACGGTACTTAACAACAACAACAACAACATACAAACGCAGGAACCAAATATATTTAAATAGTAAGGGATACATGTAGAAATTGGTCAATGTCCCTAGCTAATAAGGGAACCGCAAATCAGATCCACAATAGGTTGGCAAACATTAATGTGACTGTACTGTCATATTAATGTTCGCTTAAAAAAAAAAGGAACATAATTTGATAAGTTATTCTAATACAAACCTCTGTTATCTCACTATTTTTGCACAGCTTAGTGGGATACTTATCTTTTAATAACTTTTTGAAACCCCTTCTTTCTAACTAGTGTAGATTTTATCTGGTAACTACCAAAGGAAGTTTCTATGTGTAAACCTTTCCTTGGCTATTTGTAATAATAATTTCTTACAGCATTCTACCTCCTACTTTGGTTAGTTGTGACTGAGGTCTTAAAAGCTATCAAGCAGCTACTAAGATGCAACTATTGTTTTCTCCCTGTCTGGAGTAAGGACACATGAAGAAAATCAAAGACTCAAGGAAACTATTAGTCTAAAGGACTCATGGGCCATGCAAACCACAGCCTCTACCAGAAGAACTCGATGATGTTCAACTACCACTTGCAGACACTCTTACTGAAATAACAAGATTTGGGGCAGAATGGGAGAAAAATGTAGAACAAATGAAGATCAGCCTTGAGCAGTCTGACAGAGACTGGTGGAACCCCCTAAGCCTGTGGCCCTTGGACACCTTTTAAGTCTCCATCTGACACATTTCTGCTAAACAGACAGTGAGCAATAACGCTTGTGAGGATAATGCTCCACAAAAAAGTTGATTGTATGAGACCAAAAGGGCGGCATGTGCCCCAAAGCAAAGCTTAGAAGGCAGGAAAGATTCATGAATTGATATGGGGAACTCAGGACAAAACTGGGGAAAATATGTATAAATTGTTGAATGGAAAACTAATTTTCTCTGTGAACTTATACTCAAATGTGAATTTTTTTAAAAAATGAATAGTTCATTTCAACCGGCTACAATTTGAAAAGTGTTGACTGAATAAAAAAAGACTGTAAAAAGACATGCACAATATGGTATCATTTATATAATGTAAGATACAAGAAGTATCACATTTTTATGGATGCACACATATAATAAAATATGCTCGCTCTGTAAATATTCTTACCAGTTTTATCAGTGATTACTTTTGAGGTGGGAGGGAAAGAAATGAATCAAATATCGTGTAATGTTAATGTGGTAAATCTGCATTGTAATCACGTGGGTGTGTAATAAGCTAGCCTCAACTTTTCTATATGCTTAAATAGTTCATATTTGCATATTTGATCTATAGTATTTTTCCATAAACTTAGAATAATTGGAAATGAAAGATTTTTTGACATTTTGTTATAGAAAACTTCAAAGACTGTAACAAATATATGATAAAATTCTCATGTATCCATAACCCAGCTTCAATAATAATTATTAACACGTAGTCTTGTTTCATCTATAGTCTACCCTAGGATTTTTTTTTTTTTTTTTGAGTAAATATATCATTGTTTTCATCTATTAAAAACAATTTAGAACATACTTTTAAATGAACATGCTTTTAATGTATTAAAACTGTTTAGGTTATCTTGAAAATGACTGCCATGGATTTCTTATATTATGTATCCATACTTGCTGCTTGCCAGAGGGATTTGGGTCACCACCATCCTATCTCTGTGTTCCCTTCTGCAGATACAGTTGGTCCCACCAGGGCAGATCCAGATCCAGGGGGGACAGGCAGTGCAGGTTCAGGGGCAGCAAGGCCAAACGCAGCAGATCATCATCCAGCAGCCTCAGACAGCCGTCACTGCTGGGCAGACGCAGGTAATCTACCAACTCTGTCAGCAGGGGCGCACAACTGCTTTGGAAGCGTCAGCCAACTGAGCCAAAGATTTCATGTCTGGTAGAAATCGAGGAGCCCTTAGTGCTGCAGTACTTCAGCACTCAGCTGCCAACTGAGAGGTCAGTGGTTAAAACACTTTTAACAGCTCTGTAGCAGAAAGATATGGCAATCTGCCATAAAGATTGTCACGTTGGGAACCCTAAGAGGCAGTTCTACTCTGTCTTATAGAGTCTTTGTGAGTTGGAATCAACTCAACAGCACACAGCAACAACAGGGGAAACAAGAGGGAAAACATCTTAAAACAATGTTTTGGGTTTTTTTTTTAAAGTAGAAATACCAGCCCATGGTCTTTTGCTTTGGGCTAGCTTTAAAATCTATTAAATTGTATGGTTTAATTCTTACAGGCCCAGCAGCAGATTGCAGTCCAGGGACAGCAGGTGGCACAGACTGCTGAAGGGCAGACTATCGTCTATCAGCCAGTTAATGCAGATGGCACCATTCTCCAGCAAGGTAAGGTGCCCCCAAGTGTCTGGAGCTCCAGATCTACTATTTTGTTCCTGGAGTAACTCAATGCTTCAGCGATTCAATACTCAAACTTCTACCTGAGAGAAAAAAAGGCTTCCTCTAGGTCTTTGTTGATTTGTTGGCTCCTTGTCACCAGTACATTGCCCTCACTGATTTATTTGTAGGAGTTTTTCTTACCATCTTAACAGTAGTTGTTTACAGAGTCCTATTGCTGTTCCCTTCCCACTCCTGGGTCACTCCATTATTCACAGCAGGAGACTGCAGTTTGCACTGTACTGCAAACCCCAAGGTTTATGGTTCGAGCCCACCAGCCGCTCCATCAGGGAAGGATGCGGCTTTTTGCTCCTGCTAAGATTTGAAACCTCAGAAACCCTATACAGTGTAGCTATTAGTTGGAACTGGTGCAATGGCAATTAGCAACAGCAACAATAGCCACAACAATGAGCCTTGGTGGTACGGTGAGTTAAGCATTTGGGCTGCTGATATTAGGAAGGTCAGTGGTTCAAACCTGCCAGCTTTGTTGTGGGAGAGTGATGAGGCTTCTTGTGAAGATTTACAGTCTCAGAAATCACAGGGTCCTGTAGGGTCACGATGAGTTTGAATGGGCGTGGTGACATTGGTTGGTGGATGTGGGCACAGCAAGGAGTCCTAGAGGTGCTGCGCATTAAACATTGGACTGCTAACTGCAGTGTCAGTGGTTCAAACCCATCAGCCTTTCCTAAAGAGAAAGGTGTAGTCTGATTCTAAGATTGTTGTTGTTGTTAAGTGCCGTTGAGTCAGTTCCGACCCATAGTGACCCTGTATAGGGTTTCCGAGGAGCAGCTGGTGAGCTTGAACTGCCAACCTTGCATTTCAAACGGCTTTGCAGTCTGGCGCCACACCAGGAGTGTTGAAAATCCTATGTGGGGCAATTGTACCCTGTCTTAAAGTGTCTCTATGTGTCAGTTTAAATGGACCTAGCACTTTACTAAGAAAGAAGTGTTCAATCATCAAAAAGCATGTATTCTAGTGAGGGTGGCATCTATGTGAATAAATATATACAACATAGAGCCCCTGTGGAGAGGTTTGGTCTGAGAACAGATGATGCATTGATACAGGCAAAGTGAAATCTGCTTGAATTTGGGGGTGGCGGGGAGAGTGGACTTCGTTCAGACAGAGGACATCTTCAAACTAGACTTGAGGACTATCAGCTAAATCTAGAAAGAACATCTACTCACATTTCAGTTAAGTTTGAGTTTAGCGTGTTTGCCGTAGGTAAGATCCAGAGATTACAAAATGGAATGTGGAACAAATCAAAGTACGGCTTACGATATTTTTAAAAGAGACTTTGTAATAGTTTTTTATAACTTAACACCATCTCTTGGTAGTTTAGTAGTTTGGAATGTATGACTGAATTGTACGTTTTAGTCATGCAATTGACTGACTCATCAATTTGGAATAGACAAATTATAAATTTATAAAATCACCATCTTAAAGCAGATCGTTCATATGTTCAAGAACTGAATATAGAAGGAGGAGTAGCTGCCAATTTCTGGCCAGGAGCTGGGGGGTGGTTGGGGGAGGGGGGCAGTATGTTGAGAAAGCATAGCTTTGCATTTTGATGTTTTTGTTTAATAAAGTGTCTGTGGTTTTTTAGCAGTGCTTTGTGACTACCCCCATATAAACCAGGAAGAGTAGGAGAGTGCTTTTTCTCCCCTCCTGCTTTTTAGGGTGCCTTTTTTCGAGGTAAATGAGTGTGTGCCAGATAGAAGAGGGACTAACTATGTTCCCTTCTTTCTGTGTGCCTGTTTTTTGTTTGTTTTATGTTTTGTTTTCTTAAAGTTACAGTCCCTGTTTCAGGCATGATCACCATCCCAGCAGCCAGCTTGGCAGGAGCCCAGATTGTCCAGACAGGAGCCAACACCAACACAACCAGCAGTGGGCAGGGGACTGTCACTGTGACACTACCAGTGGCAGGCAATGTGGTCAACTCAGGAGGGATGGTTATGGTAAGAAATTGGAATCTGTAGCACTCACCTTGTAATTTAGTTGTCCATTTCTCTTGTCTTTGAAAATTTCCTGAAATTTCCATTTGATTCCTCTCCCTAAATTAGGGTTCAGTTATTTAATAAGTTATTATTTATATAAGTGTGTTTAGTAGCAGTTGGTAGATCTGTACCAATCTTCACTTGTGCTGTCTTACTGTCCTATGGAGGAGGCCTGGTGGTGCAGTAATAAAAACACTGAACTGCTAACCAGAAGGTTAGCAGTTCAAACCCACAAGCCACTCCACAGAAGAAAGATGGAGTCTGCTTCAATATGGGGTAGTTCTGCTCCGCCTATATATTTGTTGTGAGCTGGAATATATTCAGTGGTGGTATATTCTCTGACCACTATTCCTAACCATTGAGTCCTGATGTGGTGCTGTAGGATAAGTACTGACCAGGTCAGTAGTTCAAAATCACCAGCTGTTCTCAGAAACCCTGCACAGGGTCGCTGTGTGTCAGAACAACCTCGATGGCACTTAACAACGTAACCACCACATGTCATTTCTCAGAGTGGTTCCTGAACTCCTATAACAGGATCATCTGGAGTGTGTTAAAGATGTAGACCCAGACCTTTAGTGCAAACATTACCCAGGATTTGGCCCAGGAAGACATAGAAAATAGACTAACAGGGACAAAGGAAGCAATGTCTGTACTTTAACAACAATTACTTTATGCCACTAGAAAAACTCTGGTTTCATCTTCATGCAGATGGTGCCTGGGGCTGGCTCTGTGCCTGCTATCCAAAGAATCCCTCTACCTGGAGCAGAGATGCTCGAAGAAGAGCCTCTCTATGTGAATGCCAAACAGTACCATCGTATTCTTAAAAGGAGGCAAGCCCGGGCTAAACTAGAGGCAGAAGGGAAGATTCCAAAGGAAAGAAGGGTATGTATAATGTTGGAAAGATACAGAAGGAACAGCAGGGTCCTACTTTTGAAATTTAATGAAGTTAGACTTCTTAAGAGTTAGCATTTGTGATTGGTATATGAGTCCTGGTGTGTAACACTGTAGAGCAAGCACTGGACTGCTAACTACAAGGTCAGCAGTGTAAACACACCAGCTGCTCCTTAGAAACATTTATGTTGTTAGTGCCATCGAGTCGATTCCAACTCAGGTGACGCTCTGTATGGTTCCAAGAAGTGTCTGGTGATTTTGAACAGCCAACATTGTGGTAAGCAGTTCATTGCTTTTATCTTAACAGCACCACACCAGGACTCCGAAATCTGAGTCCAAACTGACTCAGTGGCACTTAATTAATAGGCAGTTGGAACCATACTCAGAAAATAACAGTGACTTAAACAAAATTGATTTTTCCTCATAGAAGAAGTCCAGGGGCAATTCTGTTGGGCTGGTGGCACAGTTCACAGACCTCCATACCCACTTCTCCTCCTGTGTTGCTGCTCTAGCATTTCTAGTGTGCTGTTCATAGTACAAGATGGCTGCTTGAGCTACAGACTAGGAGCAAAGGAAACAAGAAAGATACCTTCTCTTTTAAGGTAACTTTCAAGAAGTTCCATACAACATTTGCACTTACGTCTCATTGGTCAAAATTTAGTTACAAGTGAGGCTAGAAGATACAGTCTACAGTCTTATTTAGCAACCCAGCAAAAATTTGGCTCTGCTAGTAAAGCAGTGTGTTGCTATAGGATAAGCACTGGACTGCTAACTGCAAGATTGGTGATTCAAATCCATTAGCCACTTCTTGGAAACCCTTATACAGGGGCACTATGCGTCAGAACACTTAACAATAATTGAAGCAAGAAAGGGACTTGAGAGTTGGTGGTGGGTACCACTGAGTCCGTGGTGACTCAGCGACCCTGTAAATCTAGGGCTGAAAGTTAACAGTATCACTAAATGATCAGGGCACAGTTGTTCCAGTCCGCTGCTGACATATACCCACAACCTAATCCCAAAGGCACTGGGGCTCTAGTTCTGTGGGTCTTCAAGCTCCCCCCATTTAAATGCCTGGAGGCGCACCCTATTCTACCAACAAACCTCCTGCCCAAAGTCATTCAACTTTCCTTGCTCTCTGGGCTGGGAAACTCGCTGCTCTGTGTCATTTTCTGGCTCT